CCTGCCAGCAGGTGCACTTCCACTGAGTCCTCTGGCAGCCCCTCCTCTCCAGGTGCAAGGTCTGGCTGTGGAGGAGCCTTGGCAGCTGTGGCACTTCCGCTGGGGATGCTGACAAGGTGACCCTCCTGCCCTTGGGCTGGTGGCTGCGCTGGGCTAGGCTAGTACCTGAGCCAGCACCTGAGCCAGCACCTGAGCCAGCACCGGCCCATGTCCATGGCCCCCCTCCCCTCAGGTTACAGAGTCAAAGCACAGACAAGACCCAGGCAGATGGCACAGGGCACAGTACCGCTGCCCCTGTGGGAAGTCCTTGCTGCCAGGTGAGATAAGCAGCCCCCTCCCCTCCCCCCTTCCTTCTCCCCCCTCCCTTACCCTCCTCCTCCCCCTCTCTTTTGATCCATGGATTTTTTTAAAAAGTTGTGGTAGAGTGTACCTAGCACACAACTTACCATTTTTACCACTAAATGTACAGCCCAGTGGCACCAAGCACCTTCGGTTGTGCAGCCGTCACCACCATTCACCTCCAGACTCTTCCCATCATCCCAAACCAAACTCTGTCTCCAAGAATACTAACTCCCGGGATGCCTGGGTGGCTCAGCGGTTAAAGCATCTGCCTTTGGCTCAGGTTGTGATCCTGGAGACCCGGGATCCAGTCCCACATGGGGCTCCCTGCATGGAGCCTGCTTCTCCCTCTGCCTGTGTCTCTGCCACTCCTTCTCTCTGTGTCTCTCATAAATAAATAAATACAATCTTAAAAAAAAAAAATACTAACTCCCCTCCCCCAGCCCCAGAGCTGCTACTCTGCTTCCTTGCTGGCCCTACTCCTGGGACCTCAGGTGACTGGAATCACACGGCATTTGTGTTTTTGTATCTGCTTATTTCACCGAGCACAGTGGCCCTCAGGTTCACCCACACTGCAGCAGGTGTCGGGATTTTATTCCCTTTTCAATACTTAATATTCTGTTGTGTGGAAAAACTACGCTTTGCTTATCTGCTCATCCATCCTTGGACACTTGGGCTGCTTCCACGTTCTGGCTATCCCTTTCGGTCTTGGACCTCTCTTTTTGTTGGTTTTTGTTAAAATCATACAGAATAAATTGCAGCTACCCTGGAAAACCTAGAAATTTTAGCTGAACTGTCTCTGGGCCTCTGTTTCTGCGTCTAGCGAAGATGACTCTAAGGGAGTAATACCGCTCTGCACTGCTGTGATTTGTCAACATGCAGCAGGGGCGGAACCGAGAAGACGGGTCACCTCTGGGTGCCCACGCACCAACCAGATGAAGAGAGCGGCAGCTGGGGCGACCTTCTCTCCGGGGTGGGAGCCTGAGGCACAGAGCCTCTCCTTGGTGACCCAGCTGCCCCAGCTCTGGCCCAGGGGAGCCACAGGTCCTCAGGATTTGTGCAAAGGACTCAGTCCTCATTAATTAGTCCCAAGGTATTATTGCTGGGCTTGCCAGTGACCTGTGACCTGGGGCAGAAAAAGAACCGGCCAATCAGGACCAGCTAGTTTCCTGCTTTCAGGAAGCTGAAGAGGCACGGTGGAGAGGTCAGAGGAGCTCACGGGCAAAACGTACTAGAAGCTAGAGCACCATAGCCCAGGAGAGCAGAGAACTGTGCCCCGTGGCAGAGGCGGGGAGCTGCCCGTAGCACTGAAGGGGCCCAGACCCCGGTCAGGTACCCTTCCGAGGACACAGGCACAGGCACACACGCACACCCCTCCTACTTCCTGGGACTGGACTGTGCTGCTCTTCCCCAAAGGGTCAGACATGGGGCCACGGTGGGAGAATGGAGACGTGCACCTGCTCGGACAAGGAGTCACAAACCATGGCAGCCTGATCCGGCCCTGGCCACGCCAGTGAATGAGAGCACAGGGCTTCGAGGGTTCGTGGGGTGCGGGCGGCAGAGCTGCCGGCTACAAGCTTCTTTTCCGGGAGATGAAAAGGTAAAGTGGATTGAGGTGATGGTTGCACACCTTCGTGAAGGCACTAAAATCCCCTGAACTGCACCCTTTAAAAGTGTGCATCAAGTGGCATGTGAACTAAATGTCACTAAGGCTGCTCACACACGCACATGGACACACTCCAGACAGCAGGCCTGGGAAACCCCCCACTGCCCTGACCCATGGGAGCTGTTTGCTTCTCTCCACTCGGCTTCTATCGGCCGGCAGCCGTCAGGCTGGACCCACTGACCTTCAAGGCTTCCTGGCCTGCCCAAGAGGTCGAGGGAGCAAAGGGGACAGTGGTGTCAGTGCATTGAAACCTCAGTGCCGGATGGAGTGGGAATCCACCGCAGACAAACTCGTGGCACGAGACAGACAGCCTAGCACTGTGCCCCATGGTAAGAGGGGGGAGCTGTAGGGGCAGACCTGCGGGGCGGGGCCCACAGGGGGCGGGGCCTGGCCCCAAGGGTCCCCAGTATGGAGGCTTTTGGGTGAGACTTTCCTTCTACTGCAGGTTTGGATTAAAATAAAAAAGACGCTGGCCCAGTTGGGAACACACCCCCAGAGATCTGGGCGTGAGGGAGTTTTCAGGGGAGCAGATGGCACAGGCCAGGGAGGGGGGCAGGGAACCCAGCTGCGGGTGAGGCACAGGGAGGACACCCCAGCTGCAAAGGCCTGGCCTGGGAGTCATTCATGAAGCCAGGGTTTATTGAGTGCCTACTATGGGCCAGGGGCGGTTGTGGGTATGGCTCGACGTCAGTGTGAGCTGGGACACAGGTAAGGCTGTTTCCAACAGCAAGAACACACGGGCACCTGTGCCAGCCTTCTCGCCCCCTGCGTTATTCCTGGTGCTCTCACCGACGCTCCAAGGGAGGGTCTGGGGGCAGGGACTCCGGCCCTTCTCAAGGCCACACAAGTGAGGGGATCCCTGGGTGGCTCAGCGGTTTGGCGCCTGCCTTTGGCCCAAGGCGCGATCCTGGAGTCCCGGGATCGAGTCCCGCGTCGGGCTCCTGGCATGGAACCTGCTTCTCCTTCCTCCTGTGTCTCTGCCTCTCTCTCTCTCTCTCTCTCTCTCTCTTGGTCTATCATAAATAAATAAATAAATAAATAAGTAAATAAATAAATAAATAAAATCTTAAAAAAAAAAAAAAAAGGCCACACAAGTGAATGGCAGAGCACGTGAGCATAGAGAGGATGCTGGAGCACCAGCCAGGCCAGCCCCACTCTGACTCACCCTGGACTCTGGGGAAGCAGCTGTTGTAGCACGGCCTCGGCTACCCCCACCCTGCAAGGGGCTTTAGCAACCGGAAAGTAGGGAATACATTGGGGACAGTTGTAGCCTCTGGGGCAGGCCGCCCGCAGCATTGTGCTGGGGTGAGAGGCCTCCGACCTGGGCTTAGGCCCTGGTAGATGGCTCCTCAAAGAAGGTGCGCTGCTCCTGCGCAGGCCTCTCCCGGGCACTCCCCCCATTATGGGAAGTAAAACACAAGCAAGCACTTTGGTCCTGTTGTTGGCTGATTAACCTGACCAATTCCAAGCGTAAATAGGGGGGATGTGGGCAGAACCCTGGGACCTGGGGGAGGCCCCAAGAGTTGCAGCTTCTTTTTGAGAGAGGACACTTAGTTCCCAGGATGGGACTGCTGGCCAGTCATCAGCCCAGGGTGGCTAAGGGAGCGGCCGGAGGTCTGCACATCCAGGTCCCTTTCTCTTCCAGTTTGTACTCATGGCTTGTGGGGAGGGGAGCAGGGCACTGTTCACCAGGGAATTCTGGCGACAGGCTGTTTTTACCAGTTTGATGATATCCCCCCACCCTCACCCCGTAAGACTGAGAAACCAGGCTGACGCGGCCATGGGGCATTCCCCGCTGCCCACCGCTCACCAGCGGCTGATCATGGTTTGCCTGGTAGCCTCTCCCGTGTCCAGGCACTGCTAGCAACGCTCAGGAATTGATGCCAACCTCCCCAACCCGACCCCCAGCTATTTTTGGACAGGGGCTGCACTCCTGAGACTGAGTGTGGGAGAGGGGAGCCTGGGCTGCTGTGTGCTGCGGAAGGACACTCACTGCCCACTGCACTCCTTCCCCGCCTCCCCTGGGCCACCCCGAGAGGAGGTCCTGATGGTCCATTGGCACACAGGCTGCTCTCCTGGCCACAGCCGGCCCCGTGCCCAGGCCCAGCACACAGGCCCCACGCATAGAGCAGTAGGTATTTGCCAAGTGCTCCAAAGTATGCATTAGCATTATGTACTACGGTTCTCCCTCTTTACATGGGGCGCAGGCCCCAGAAGCAATGACATGGAAGTCATTCCTTCTCGGCTTGGATGCTTCCCTGGAGGACTCCCTTCCAGAGATCAGAATCAAGACTCCAGATCTTTGAAGCCAGGCATCATTCTGAACTTTAACATTCTTGCTTTCTTTTGCAAGAGGAACCTTCAGACTAGATACAAATTAGGTGAAAAGGTTGATTTGTTCTCCAGGAAGATGAGACTGAGAGGCAGGCCCGCGGCCTCACCATTTGAATCCCTGGTAGCTGCGCCTTCGCCTTTCGGGTCTGACCTCGGCTCTAGGTCTGAGCGCATAAGGCTTGAGGCGTGGGCGGGCAGCGGCGAGCAGTGCTGCAGCGGCGGCGGGCCCGGCACACCTGAGTCCCCCGGGTACTGCGGGTCCCAGGGCTGGGGGGGCAGACAGGCTCCGCCCCCGTCCCTCTTGCAAAAAGCACTGCCCGGGGGCCTGTCCCAGGTGTGTCGCTGGGAGTCGCCGGCTTCCCCGGCCCCTGCGAGGACAAACGAAGCCCCTGCGCCAGCACTTGCAGGCTGCACGTGGGACGGACCCCCCGCAGCCCGGGGCTGAGGCGGCTGGGCAAACCGAAAAGAGGGGGCCGCCCCGGGGTCCCGGGGTCTCGAGGACGCGGGTGCGCGCTGGCCCCGCCCCGCCTCCTGGCCCCGCCCCTGGCCCCGCCCCACCGCCCGAAGCCGCGGCCCCGCCCCTCAGGCAGCGCGGCCCCGCCCCTCCGGGTTGCTAGGGGAAGTGACGTCACAGCGCGATGGCGGCGGCTCCTTCAGGCAGCTGAAGGGGGATTTAGGCCCGGAAGATCCGAGTCCATCCGCGGCGGGGAGAGGGCGAGCGGGGTCGGCGGGGGCCGGAGCAGGGGCGGCGGCGCTCGGACTGTCCCATCCGCCCCGTATTGAGGCGCTGGGAGCAGCGGGGCGGCCGGAAAGCGATGGTGAAAGCGGGGCCGTGAGGGGGGCGGAGCCGGCAGCCCGACCCGCCGTAGCGGCAGCAGCGGCGCCGCCTCCCCGAGCTCAGACCCAGGAAGCGGCTGGGAGGGCAGGAGCGAGCCGGACCCGCCGCCGCCGCCGCCATGGAGCTCAGAGTCGGGAACAGGTACCGGCTGGGCCGGAAGATCGGCAGCGGCTCCTTCGGAGACATCTATCTCGGTGAGGCGCCCCTCCCCCCCCCAGCCCGGGCCGCCCCCGGACCGGCGTCCGCGCGGCCCCCCCCCCCGCCCCCGGGTCGGGGACCCCCGCCCAGGACCCCGGACACGCCCGGACCCCGCTGCGAGGCCCCGCGGCCCGCCTCCGCCCCCGGGACCCCCCTCGCGGGCCCGCGGCGGTGACCGGGACCCACCCCTCCGCCCCGCCCCCAGCCCCTCCGCGGGGTCCGGCCGTGCCCCGGGGCGCCTGCCCGGACGTGCGCCCCAGGCTGCCGGGAGCGGCCCTGCGCCGCCCCAGACCCCCGCCCGCTGTCCGCGCCCGGGTGTCCCCCGCGGGCAGACAAAGGCCGCCGGGCGGGTGTGCGGCCCCCTGCGCCCGGGCACGTGGGGGGGGGTCCGGGGGGGCGGTCGGGGCGCCGGCCCCAGGCTTCCGCGGCCCGCGGGCCCGTGCGACGGCGCAGCCCCAGCTCGGCGGCTCCCCGGGCTCCGACGGGGCCGCCGGGTGGGTCCCCCGCCCCGTCGAGCGGCCCCCGAAGGACATGTTGCGCATCCAAGTTGTGGACCGGGTGCCTCCGCCGGAGCCAGACTGGGATGTGGGGCAGCGCAGACGGAGTCGGCGTCGCGGTGTGGGCAAAAATTAGAGGCAAATAAAGTAGTAAAGCGCTCTCTACTCCCGAGGTGGTCCCTCTGGCCCTTACGGTTCTCCAGGTACATCTGGGGTAAAAAAAAAAAAAAAAAAAAAAAAAGAAAGAAAGAAAAATGGGATTGGAAAGTTCTGGATCGTCTCCGGTTTGCAGTGCGAGGAAATGCACGTGTAACGTGAACGGTCGGCTTGAGCCTTCAAGTTGGGGCTTTAAAAATCACTTTTGCTGTAGCCGGTACCCCCCTGGACCTGGGGACGCACAGCCTGGCGGGGCCGTGTGCGCAGAGGGACTGTTGCGCAAGTCTGGGGTAAACACGCTCCGATGTTGCGCAGAGCCCCTGCCCTGCTGCTTCTCTTGGGCTGTGTACCTGTCAGAGGGGTCAGGAGTGGCTTCAGGGGGTCCCCACCCGGCCTCCCGTCTTGTCACCCGGAGGTGCAGCTGCTCCTCCGGGGCTGACGGCGTTAGGAGTGCACATGTTTGTTCATTACCGCTTTTGGTGCCTTCTCACCCCACAGAGCAAGCCTGTCTGGGCCCTACAGATGCCTCTGATCCTGCCTGCCCTCTGCCTTACTGTCCTGCTGAGCAAAACACACTTCACAGACGTTTCTCTCCGGTAGTCTGCTGGCTGCCTTCTGAGCAGCGTTCCTTTAGGGAAATTTGCTGGGTGAATGTAAACTGTTTGCATTATTCCCAGAACAGTGAAATTTGGCCAAAGTTTTAACCTAGGATCTAGGAGCTGCCCTGAGAAGTCCATGCATTCGTCACCTTTACACGGGCATCAAAAAGTAGGTATTTATTTCGGAGCTCTCTGTCCTCAGGTGCTAGCCAGCTCTGTGCTTTCTGAAGCTGGTGCAGGGAGCCCCGTGTGCTTATTCACCGTGGTGCCCTCTGGGCCTCCCCCTGTGTTAGGCACACCGGCGGCACCTGATGCACGGCGCAGGCTGACCTGTCCCAGAGGGGTCTCTCCTCAGTCTCACACCCTCGCTCCCAGCACCCGCACGGCCCGTTGAGGTGCACTTAGGCCACAGCTGATGTTTTCCGTCAGCATGGGCTCTGGGCCCCCACGGGGGTCCATTCAGGCTGAGTGCTGCTCCACCGAGGAGAGGTGATCTTGTTACTTGAGAGATGTGGCTGGACCGCGGGGTCTGAGGAACCCCACCAGCTGTAGGTGAGGCTCAAAGATGGCTGCCCCAAAGACCACGGAACAGAATGAGTCATTCCTACCGTAGTTCCTCCTCTGTAGGTAAAGGCATTAGTTAAGGAATTGCATCCTCATATCTTGAAAATGGTTAGGTTCCATGTATTCTGCTGTGATTACAATTTAAATCACTTCTGCTGCTGTCATTTTACTATTGATCAGAACACTCGACTCCTCCACGAAGGTTCCCTGTGTTGTGATCCTGCATTTGGGGTCTTGGATTTCTGCCTGGGACGTTGTGTGCTTTCAGAGGTTTGAAACTGCGAGGAGGGGAGGCCGTCTTTCAGTTTACTGAGTGCCTCATGGACCAGGAGGGCCCGGTATTGGCCTGCCTTCCCGGCCGCCTGCTGCATTGACATGGTCATGCGGCCCTGTGCCCTGCCAGTTATTCCAGTCCATCCCACATGGCCCTTTTAAAGATGGGCTATTTCTCCAGTGCCTGGACTTCAGAAAGTACTGCACTTGGGCCACGATGGACCCCAAATGTGCGGTCCCCATCTTCTGTTTACCTCCAAGCTTGCCAGATCCTGAAGGCTGTCAGGGCAGGGCGCAAAGGCCTCAGAGTTCCTGTATTCTGTGCGGTACGTGCTTATGCGAAACGTTGCCTGTACCTGTTACTGCCAGTGGGCATAAGGCAAAGCCTTCCCACCCCTGTGTCTTCATCAGCTTTAGCTTCCACATGCTTTGGCCCCTTGCTGTTGGAGGTGATGTGTTGTGAGGCACTGGACATCAGAAGCCCTTTCATTTGCTGGCAGTGTACCTCCTGTATACCTGCTAATAACATTTGAAAACAGGGAGGGCGTGTTCTTACTGTGGACCACATGTTCCCAGTGTGACCAGTAGAGCTGAGGGAAGAAGAGGGTGTGTGGGGAAGAGTGCTAGAGCCAGGCGGGTGGTGGTGCTACAGTCAGCACAGACCCTCTTCAGTTCATCCAGTGTTCCAGAGCGTCTGCAAGCCCCCGTCCTCTCTGTTGTCATCCATGTTTGTTTTGTAGAGGCTGGCGGAAGGGTCCTCAGACCCACCTACACCCCTGTCTTTCATGATTGATGGAATGTAGGTTTTCTTCCTGTCCGTGTTGGCCTTTGGGGTCACTCCATTTATCAGAGGATGGCCTCCCCTCTGCATGTGTTACCTGGATGGACTGCAGCCTGCCGTCGTGACGTACATGAACATCTTTAGAGAGCTAAAGTTTAGTAACCTCTTCATACTCGATTTTCACGTTTTCCCCTCTCATGGACTTTTCTTTTTCTTCAGGAACACCATGCAAGGATGTCTGGCACACAGTAGGGGTTCTAGAGTGGTGGCTGGCTGGCCAGCTGGCTGGGAGAGAAGACCAGTTGCCTGCACTGGCTGAAGCTTTCCTAGTCACCTGGTTTCGTTCTTTAGGGTGGTAGCTTAAGCTTTGAGTGTCCCTGATGAGAGGTTGTGATCCTGCATCAGTTGCCTCGTCAACATTTGCCCTGTTTAGAGTGACCTTTGCCTGGCTGCCCAGAGGCCTCTCCCTGTTTCTTTGATAAGACAATCTTCATTGGGAGTTGGGCCTAAGGACAGCTGTCCCAGGACAGACTCAGGCTTGGGTTCGGTTCACTTAATTCATCGTCTGATTTTGTCTGCTCAACTTGAGAGACATAATTTTGTTTTCCTAGGATCACCTCTAACCTCTAACAGAGTAACACCCTTGCCTAGAGAGAGGAACTCTTGTCTGACAGGGTGGGGCTGCTTAAGCTGCTGGAGGGGCTGAGGTTATTAGCGAGATAAAACTGTTTTAAGTGTAAACGGACCCTGTGGATTGACTGCCTTGTGAATCTGAAACCCAGTGCTCAGTGGGGTCTTCTAACTTCTTGTTCCCTATCTAGAAGTACTTATAGAAGTTGTGCTGAACGATCAGGTTTTGTAATTACCAATCCTTCATAAACCATTACTTTTTTTTTTTTTAAGATTTTATTTACTTATTCATGAGAGACAGAGAGAGAGAGAGGAAGAGACACAGGCAGAGGGAGAAGCAGGCTCCACGCAGGAAGCCCGACACGGACTCGATCCCGGGTCTCCAGGATCACACCCTGGGCTGAAGGCCGCGCTAAACCGCTGAGCCACCTGGGCTGCCCCCATAAACCATTACTTTTGTAAAGTAAGATTAAATGTAGCAACATCGCTTTGCTGTCTGATCTCCTCGATGCTCTCTTGCTGCCCTGTATTGTTCCCCCCCCCCCTTGGACAGGTGGTTTGAGCACTAGACTTGGAGCAGGACTGCCAGGGAAGCATGAGGTGTGATGCCAGCCGTAGGAGGTGGGGCAGGGCTACAGGGCCCTAGACCACTGGACCTTGGTTTTGCCTGTGATGTTTGCTTCTCATGGAATGCCCAGTGCTTGAAGCTGGGCTCCTTGGTACGTCTACCCACTGGGCACAGACCTTGCTGGGAAGCAATCCAGAGTGTATGCTATTATCACATTTATTTGCAGAGCCCAAGCCCAGCCCCTCTTTGGTTCATCAGACTTGAGGCAAGCTTCACAGTTGTGATCTTAGGGGAGGCTGGCCCTTTGTGTTGGTGTGATCCTGGGGGAGGCTGTCTCTGTTGCTGGTGTGATCTTGGGGGAGGCTGGCTGTGTTGCTGGTGTGATCCTGGGCGAGGCAATCTCTGTTCTTTGGTGTGATCCCAAGGAAGGCTGGCTGTTTGCTGGTGTGATCTTGGGGGAGGCTGGCTCTGTTGCTGGTGTGATCCTGGGGGAGGCCAGCTGTGTTTGCTGGTGTGGTCTTCGGGGAAGCTGGCCCTATTTTCTGGCGTGTTCCTGGGGGAGGCTGGCTGTGTTTTTGCTGGTGTGATCTTGGGGGAGGCTGACTCCGTTGCTGGTGTGGTCCAGCAGGAAGATTGGCACCATGATAGGAGAACAGGATTCAAATGGAGTTTTAGAGTTGCTTACGGTTGTCTCCCAGACTGTCCTGTCAGTATTGCTGGATTGATGGCCAGATGTTTACATTATCTGCCACAATAGGGTGGAGCTAGAATGTTCTCTGCCCTCTTGAAGGTGGTGGTCTGGGAGGTAGTCTGTTTGGTCCAGGCTGTCTTGTCATTGAAGACCTGCTTCATGGCAAGGGTGACAATGCTGATGTAGTTGGCGGAGCAAGAATGCTCTCACTAAAGGCTCCACTGCTCATGCTTTGGGGAACAGAGTTGCTGATGTAACCAGTAAGCTGAGTCATCCATTTCTCTGTGTCTCCTGGGCTGGCGGGTTCAGCCCGGAGTCCAGGTCCTCACAGGAACTCCCAGTGCATTTCTCATTTGCACAGTACATTTACGATGAAGTCATTTCTCTTGTAATTGGATAGATCATCGCAAATGCGGGTAGGAAGAACAAAATGTATTACCTGTCTTCTTTGTGAGTGCCCAGAAGAATCTCTGTGGAATGGTAAATGAGGTTCTTAAATCTAGAATGGTCACTTGCAGTGGTCAGATGCTGGTTATTCCCATGGTTTTGGATTCAAGCCCACCAGAAGCCCTGTACTTCTTGGAGCCATCTGGGTAGTCTGGAGGAGACGTTGGGGGTTCTTAGGTGTTTAGTGGACACATGAACAGCAGCAGGCAGGGTTCCTGCAGGCTGCTTGTGGTTTTAGTGCCTTTGGGAATCTCAAAGTGCTTTGTAACTATTAACGCACCCTCCCTTGCAAGCGTCTTGTGAAATAGACTGCACTTCTTCCCCTGAACTTGGGGAGAGAGAAACCAGTCAGTTGAGGTTGCTTTGTCCAATGCTACGATCCCCTTGGGAAGGAAATGTCCCGGGCCTGTCGAGCTGCTGGAACCAATACAGATAAACATACTGCTGAGAAGGATTAAACTGGTGTGTACAGCAGACATCCTTATCCACAGGGGACATATTTCATGACCCATAGGGGATGCCTAAAACCATGGACAATACCAAACCCTACGTATACCTTGTTTCTTCCTAGACATACTTACTCATGATGATGTTTATAGATGAGGTATAGTGAGAGATTCACAACAATAGCTAATAATAAAATAGAACAATCATAGCAGCATATTGTAAATAAAGTTCTGTAACTGGGGTCTCACAATAATCCTACTGAGCTGTACTCCCCTTTCTTGTGACCCTGTGAGGTGGTGAAGTGCCAATGTGACAAGGGGCGGGAGGGAAGTGATGCGGGTGTGTGACGTGGCGAGGCTCCTGCTGACCTGACCGGAGGGTGGCACAGGAGCATCTGTCTGCAGACCGAGTTTGACTGCAGATAAGGGACACCTGTACTTACAAGGCACCTGGGGGAGAGCTAGGTGTAGGTTAAGACTCTTCCCTGTTTTCTTCAGCTAAAGCTTCTTGAGGAAGGTTTCATGGGCACAGCTTTGGGTCAAATGGGAGCTCAGGAGCATTTGTGTGTGAAGCCTGGGGCAGGGCGTTGTCATATCTGCATTTCCTTAATTGAAGTAAAGCAGAGATAGAACATAGGCTGTTATCAGGAGGTATTAGCTGATGTTTTGTTGGTTTTAGCATAAAACTAACAAAAGGTATGTGACAGGTACATGTTGCATAAGTGTCATTTGGGCTCTAAAAGGGAGTCCACCCTTCTGGTCCAGTATCAGTAAGAAATGCACAGTAGTGTCCTATTCCCCAGGAAGGGAGAAGGTTGCAGAGTGTCCTTGGGGGAACCAGCTCCACTGGAGAAGTGCCTTGACTGTTCTGAGATTTATGCGGCTCAACACCCAGGGTGGGTGGACTGAAGCCGTGGGTGTTTGGTAAAAAGGAAGGCCCACACCCACCCACCCCCACACAGGCCTATCCAGGCAGCATGGAGAAATGGGGAGCACACAGTCACCCTGGAACTGCTTCGCCCTGGGTAGGTGAATACAGGGGCCAGCCACCAGCTGGTGGGACAGGAAAGCTTAGGGCAGAAAAGATGGGAGTCCTTGCAGAGAGAAATGCACTGCCCTGTCTCTGGGTCCCCTATTGACGTGATCAGAGTGGGGACATATGGAAGTGGGTGAGGGAATACTAAATAAGACTTTTCTATACATATCAAAGACTTCCTGCTTAAAAAGTGAAAGTAATGATGGTTTTTCCACAGGGTTTGTCCACCACCGACACCCATCTCACAGGGGAAAGCGGAGCAGAAGGTCTGTGGTGTGTTATAGTATTGCGTTAGGTGGTGGACACCAGATTATTAATGTTTGTGGTTTTTCTCTTTTGCCAAGGTACGGACATTGCTGCAGGAGAAGAAGTTGCCATCAAGCTTGAATGTGTCAAAACCAAACACCCTCAGCTCCACATTGAGAGCAAAATCTACAAAATGATGCAGGGAGGAGGTATGCCCTTTACCTGTTCAAAAGAAAACCAGGGTTGTATTTGATGAGGGAGAATGGGTCATGAAGCATAGCCTCTGGTTTATTTGGGAAAGGGAGGGAAACATCCATACATGTGACTCAGTCATGTGGCTTCCTTCAGCTACCAAGAGGCCTACTGAAGGCCTCGTTCAACATAAAGCATGATTGTCTGCTTTTCCATAGCCTCATGTTAACTAGTCGTGTCTTTGAACTCAGGGTTTGTGAGAATTGTGATTTTTCAGGCACACTCCTGATTGTTAGGTATGCCACCTTGGTCACATGGTTTGCTCATAGCTTTGGTGGGGAGTCCCCTCAGACGCTCCTGAGTGAAACAGAGTTTGAACTCCGTGACTTCTGTGTCCCTTTCTAACTCAATTATTGTCCCAATTCTTCGAAACCTTCTCTTGGGCCTAAGGGTATCTGATGTCCTGATCTCAGAGTCTAACTTTTAGAATTCTCTGGACTTCAAGATAGTTCAGCTAAGGGAGCAGGTGGGGCTTTTCTTGGGTGTCTCAGAGTCCCAAAGACACCGCAGCATTAGGAAGGACATGTCCGTGCTTTGCCCCAAGAAGCTCCCCTCGGGAAGAAGGCTTTGTGTCTGAAGAATGGCTGCACTTCATCCTGATAGGAGACCCTTCGTGGCAGAAGCTTCTGTGGTACTTTCATAGTTTGGAGTGCTCTCGGTGCCTTGCAAATGGAAGCTTGTCTTCAGAGTCTGAATTGCGTTTTTTCAGGAGAGAAGGGAGGATTGGTGATTTCACTCTGGCATCTTTCCTCCACAAAAGTGGTTTAATCTGTGTTGCTACCAGCAACCAACATTTCTTGCTTTACACAGCAACACATGTCTCTCATACATATCAGAGCAACACAAACAGTCCTGCAGGACCCATCACAGAGGAGGTCCAGGGTATCCCATCTCGGCTTTCTGGGAGCCTGAGGAGGCCATCGGTAAAAATATCCTGGCCCCTGTGGGCCCCAGGGAGTGGTCAGCAGAGGACCCAGCCATTGTGTCTGCCCTCTGGTGACCCTCAGCAGAAGGCAGGCTTCTTAGGCATCGAGGACAGTCTACACAGCTTATCAGGTGGTGATGAGAAGGAGATGACTCGGGAGGTGGCCTTTGTGGTTGGGGAGGGCCTGATGCTGGGGTTTGAATAAAGCTTCCAGTTAAAAGTTGTGTTGAGTGTTAACAAGCAGCATCTCTGAGAATTTGCAAGCTGGAGGGCCAGAGGGCAGAAGGAAAGAAGACGGTCAGCCAATACCCCAATAGGAATTGGATAAGAGAGACTGGACAGAGAAGACTTTATTCCCTTCAGGATGGGATTTCTCTGTCCTTGAACCACAGTCGTCTGCGGCAGGCCTGAGGGCCCAAGCTGCAGCATTGCATCTCACTTTGAATCCTTGCGTTAAGATTTGTGCCCCTTCTCTTGGACCCTAAAAACCTAGGATCTTCTCCCTTCTGGCCATCCTCCACGTGTAGATTGAGTTTTACTCCGGTTTCAAATGTGCACTTAATGGATATTATCAAGGTGCTTTATTTTTTTTTTTTTTTAAATTTTATTTATTTATGATAGTCACAGAGAGAGAGAGAGAGGCGCAGAGACATAGGCAGAGGGAGAAGCAGGCTCCATGCACCGGGAGCCCGATGTGGGATTCGATCCTGGGTCTCCAGGATCGCGCCCTGGGCCAAAGGCAGGCACCAAACCGCTGCGCCACCCAGGGATCCCCTATCAAGGTGCTTTAAAAAAAAAAAAAAAAAAGGTAAAGAGACCAATTTTTGAAAAGAGATGATGTCCAGAAACGCAGAGTCCATGATTCTGATAGTGTTGTGTGAATTCCTCCTAACCAAGATGAAGCCGCCGGGGCTGCAGACAGGATGCAGGGGTCCTCTTGCTGAAGGTCAGCCTTCTGCATTACATCTCATGCAAATACACACAGACCACTTGGTTGTGGTGAAGGGACGGCAAGTATCTCTGACTGTGGTTCTTAGGTGCTTTTAATGCTGCATCCTGGGCTTGCTTGCATGTGCGGATACATCATAGGAGGGAGCTGAGAGACTGCCATGCACTCTGTAGCTTGCTGTGCAGGCTTCTCTAGATACTGCCTGGCCCGTGGTGGTGGTGCTGTGCTTGGCTAGAGAGAGCGGCACTTAGGCAAGCAGGCCACCTAGGGGAGGAGTCGGTCTCCACTTACAGACACTGGCATGTCTGCTGCCACTACAGTCCTGTGCAGAAACATGTCAGCCAGCCTTGTGTCCTGACTGAAGAAATAGATACGCAGACCGTTGCAGAACTTGCCCGAGGACAGAGATTTGAACCTGAGCATCGTCGTGCCCAGGCCACTGCTGCATAGCAGCTCTGCTCCTGGGGAGGCATGCAGCTGCCCAGCCTGGCAGTCAGCACCGTGCCCCAGATGCTTCTACCTGCGGCAAGTTTGCTGGCAATAGTGGATTAAACACCTGGAAAAGCAGGAATAAACCTTGCTTACTTGTGTTGGTAAATGACTTGGGGAGACATTATGTTCTTCTCAAAATGCAGTAGAGTGCCAGGTCCTGCTTAGACATCAACTGCTCTTTCCCATCTGGATGTCTCCAGGGTGGCTTTGAACCATCCCTTCTTTGGTGGCCTCTCAGTAGAGAACATTTGTTCAGTCCACAGCTGCTTCTGGTCAAGGCTCAGGGCGGGTGTGGTGTGTGGGAGGGTGGAGTGGGCCATTTGTATAAAATCTGGGCTGGCAGTGAGGGTGAGCACTGAGCACGCATGGCCCTCACGGTAGAAGTGGCTGAGTCCCCCAGTTCCCTTCTCTCATCCTGTGTCCTGGTCAGTTCCCATAGCAGAGAACATATGTAATATGTGGGGACTGATCCTAAAGTGAACACCCATTGCTCCCACCTACTTGAGAGGCGGCAGGACCCCAGCCCCACCTGGTGCTCGCGTACCAGTTCACCTCAGTGCCCTGAGGGAGGAACCATGGTCCAGAGTTTGCCCCTGGCATCCTTGCCTAAGGATTTTTGTTTCTCTGCCACCCCATAAGTAGTTTGTTTTTGAAAGTGTAATGACCTTGTCTAGAAAAATTTGGCAGTTTGTTTATGGTTGTTTTAGGTTTGAGTTGCCAAAAACTTTGTGAAAATTTGTATTTATTTGCATTAATGTCAAATACTGGAATTTCTCATAAGTAAAAATGGAAAGCATATGCCTGTTCCCGTCGCCTAGTTTTTCACCCCCAAGCAGAGATTTTGGTATCTTTGGACTCCCATCAAGTGTTGAGAACTGCACGTAGTGACACTAAGCCACCCATTTGCCATCTTAATGGCCCGTGGGTGGGGGTAGCATGCTGGTCACTGCTGCCCTCGCCCTACCAGCCTTGCCTGCTCCTGCATGGGCCCAGCAGTGGTGTGCATTTCCACGTTTCTGATCGTGCTGGCACCAGAGTCCCCGTCTGCGGACAGGCAGTGGGAACATGCTTGTGATCGCTTTATGGCTGATTGCTTCCTGGGGCCTCAGCACTTAATCTAGACTGCTCAGGACAAAGCAGGCTACACAGAAAGCTGAGCATCTTCTCACCAGAGAACTCTTGAGAGCAAGGGCGCTCTGCCTTTACTGCATTCTCTCTGCTCCCTGATGCTGGGTAACAAGACTTTGGGATCGACCACTAGGAGAAAGGGTGCCGCCATTGGAACACCTCAGCGGTGTAAACGGACTCCGTGCGTCTTTGAGTCACATCTGCCTCACATGTGCAACATATGAATGTCTTTGGTATGGTTTTCACATACCGTTCAACTTTACTTTTGACCCCACGTGCTCCCAAGATGCCCTGTGCTGACATGGCTGCTGTTTAGTAACCACCTGTCTCTAAGCAGTTCGCTCCTGCTTCTGTCCTCTTATTTTTGGGGACGGTGCCTCGATAGCACCCGATCATGTTTTCTGTTGCACAGCCTGAGAGTGGAATTGTGTCTCATGGAGCAGGCAGGCCCTTGGCCTGCAGGATGACGTCGGGTGCCGCACCTGCCTGCAGGGACGTGTCCCCCCAGGATGGTCAGTTATGCAGGTTATTTCCCAGCTGCCTGGCATCTGAGCTTCTGTTGAAGCCACATCCTCTTTGGTCTCGTCATCACCATTCCTCTCTAGCATGGCACGGGGTCCCCTTTCTAGCTCCGAAGACAAAGAAGAACATTTAAAAATAAGGGTGGGAGAGGAAGAAATAAAACTTATTTGTAAAGGAATGGACCTCTGGTGGGTAGCTGGCTCTCACTCTACACATATCATCAGTTCACTTCATTACACCAGTACCAATCCATTACAAGATGTCTGTGTCCCCCCAGGTACCATCCCGTCTCTTCTGTATCTTCTGAGGGGAAAGGAAAGGGTTGTGTGTGTGTGTGTGTGTGTGTGTGTGTGTGTGTGTGTGTGTGAGACACAGCAGTCGCAGATCCCACCATCACATCTGTGTTCTCCAGGGATGGCGTCACTAAAACTAGGGTCTCAGTCTCCTGCAATTCAGGAGCAGGAGGAAGCTTGGGAGAAGGCAGATAGGCACAGGCTTCTCTCCTTCCCCAGAAATTCAAAATTCCACAGAAAACTTTGGTTTCCTGCATTAAACATGGAGTTACAGTCAACCATATCCTACTAAACCATCTTGTGGCCCATTTGACATGCATGTCTTTTTGAATTTTTTTTTTTTTTATTTATTTACGATAGTCATACAGAAAGAGAGAGAGAGAGAGGCAGAGACACAGGCAGAGGGAGAAGCAGGCTCCATGCACCGGGAGCCTGACGTGGGATTCGCTCCCGGGTCTCCAGGATCGCGCCCTGGGCCAAAGGCAGGCGCCAAACCTCTGCGCCACCCAGGGATCCCTGACATGCATGTCTTAAACCTTCAGGGACGCTCCTGAGTAACTTGGAGGTCCAGTCATCTTCCCTTCTTGGTTTTCCAGCCCCCCACCCCACACCTTTTCCCTAGGATTAGAGACTGAAAGAGGTTTGATC